AGGGTAGAAGGTAAGAAAAAGGAGCCTGAGGAGAAAGTGGTGAGATAAATTTGACCAATTTAAAGGCTATTAAGTGTTAATTCTGGATCAGGGGATACTGGCCAGAAAAGAAAAAGGAATGGGAATGGGGGGAAAGAAAAGGAGAGGAGAAATAATGAAGCGAAGAGAAAAGGCAGCCATGTGCATGGTAGGCAATGGTAAGAGAAAAAACCTTCCCAGAGACCTCAGGGGTTGGCCACACTGTCTCAGCTAAGGCAGAGGCTGCTTTCTGCTAGCTCTGTCTCCTGCCCACTGTTACCACGAGGCTGCCATAGTTTCCACAGAACCCTTCCTATAATCCAGCTCTCATCCTGGTAATATTTGGCCTGTTGCAGGCTAAGACAGGATGCCTCCACCTTATGTAGCCCAGATCTTTTCCGCAATGAGCACTGCTGTTTGAGACACATGGGTTATTTTAGTTTCTGCAGATTAAGCAGCCTCTTAGAATTTCTTCTTTTAACAGTCTCATTGACACAAGGATATATTTTTTTGTCATCAAACAGGATTTGATGAAAACAGCTTGCTTTTACTTTACTGTGCTTCTTTCCCACCAAGATCTGCAGCGCTCCCTTTCCAACATTTGCTACCTTTTCAGATGGTCGCTGCAGGTTATTCTTTCCTCTTCCTATAGCCACTCCACCACACTCACTATCTTCAGGAGACCTTTATATCCCCCTCCATCATTGGAAAGGAATGCCAAGGCCTTCTGCTGGCAAAACTCTCATTCTCCACGAGCCTCCTCCACCAGAAGATATCTGGAAGCAGCCATGTTTCCTGTCTGGTTCTTAAGGGTTCCAAGAGAAGTAGTTACAGCTGCTGCCCAGCCTCTGCCTCACCCCAGACCCACCTCAGTTTTGACTTAGTGCAGGTCACTTCCCAGACGTAATGAGATGTCAGGACTTGGAAGGTGAGACTCACTCTCAGAAGACACTGGCTCTGGAGACATATTCTCACAGTCCAGAGAGGAAGGACAGTCTGAGCAAACCCCACCCTTTCACAGCCATTCAGTTCCCTTTTTTTGTTTCCTGACATAAACCAATGTCTTTTTTTTTCTTCTTAGCAACATGGTATCTGGTTCTGTGCTGCTGTCCCTATTCCCCTCCCCCGCCAACTTTCCCCACCCCTCATTTGCCTGGGACCTCTTACACAGTCTAGCTCTGAGACAAACTTTCTTACCATTACTGCAGTGGCTGATTCTCCCTAAGATGATGGGGCTGAGCCTAACAAACAAGTCATCAGACTACCCTCCATGGGGTAAAGGGATGACATACCTAAAGGACTGTGGGGGATGATCAGCACAGGAAAAAGAGATTCCCAAGCTGGCAAGACACAGAACAAAGCCAATGTCTTTAAGGTCTCCTGTTTCCTCAGGAGAGGAGACGCAGGATCACATATTTCGACTTGAAGGATGAAGAAGGCTCACTCAGACACCCTGAAATACATAGACCAACAGAGGTAGAGACAAGACTTCCTCTGCTGAGTCACTTTCTAAGAATGCATTTTTTTCTACAGATAAATATGACTGAATGCAAGCCCACACAAAGACTATTGTGCCCGTCCCCATTGTTTGTGAATGTTCTTTTGTGGATATTTTTCCTTCAAGATTCACCTTATGAGCTGAGCCATGATGGAACAGATTTATAATCCCAGCGACGGGGGTGATGGGGACAGGACAATCACAAGTTCAAAGCCTGGACAACGTTTTTTCTCAAAGTAATAATATTTTCTTTCATTCTTTCAAGCAGTAGAAAAGCCTATATGTATTCTTTGAAGCCTGAATGTTCTCTCAGCGGGTCCTTAGTTTGTTTACCAGCTTCCATCTTCTCCCTGAGGATTCTCTAAAGAAATGTAGGTACATGATGGTGGCAGAGGCCCTGGTGACTAATTTCCTTGTCCATCTTCTTTTATGGTTCATTTTCATATTGCCTTACAGAGACATTATACCCTAATACAGAAACTTATCATTGATGGCAAAAGTTGGTCAGAATTCTGAAAGCACCAATATTTTTAAAGCATTTGTAGAATGACAGATTGGGAAATCATTACATTGGTATAGATAGATGGGCACCAATTATATGGCTCTCCCTACTTTAGTGATGAATTATGTCCTTTCCTTAGTCTTATGCAGTAGCTGTTCCAGTCACCAATGGAGTTACCATTGACATTTACCATCCCTCTCCTTTTCTTCAGTTAGATGCTCCTTGTCATATGGTCCATCATTTCCAAAGGTCCATTTGGGATGGGAATGTGGAATTATTAAGAGCACTGTGAGAAATCAGACAGTGAGCCAAAAGGTAAAGGCAGATTAAAGCTAGGAACTTCTTCACTTCTTGCCCACAACCACTCACACGTTCATACCAACAGGACTATCCTCAAATAGTGCAAACAAATAAGCTAGTGTAAATTCAAATTATTCCCAGTAGATGGACCATGGAGATGGGTCAGCAAGTAAAAGCACTTGGTACCAAGCCTGATGACTTGTGTTCAATATCCATGGAAGAAGCAAGTAATTCCTATCAGTGGTCCTTTTTACCTCCACACTCATGTTTTAGCATGCACATATACATACAATTAAATGCAATATAATATAAGGTTCTGCTCTTGGTGCTGTCTATAGTAAATAGCTTTGAGAAAGATGAGAAAGTAGCCCAATTAATGTGTGAAGAGTGAAAGGTTGAGTCCTCTAGATGATAAAATCAGGGCAATTAATATCTAAAAATGCTTTCATCACATGGTTTAAGAAGTCAAACTCAACATTTTATTTTCCAGGGTGAAGAATGATGTCACAATTAGTCTCCAATATTGATATTAAAAAAATCTCCAGGTGGAAGTAGAGTGGATTGCTGTAGTGCTTCTGAAAATGGGCTTTGCTGATAGCAACTAGAAGAAACATAGTCAGAAACATACATAGCTGAAGGTGACTTTGGGCTTATTCCTAGAAGTAAAAAATCTAGAGGAAAGTGAATTCTTACACACTGAAACGCCAGACTATACCTAGAGTCCTGTCTTAAGTTCTGAGTGCTTCATTTTAGGAGAAATTAATGAGCACAGACACACAGAAAGCAGAAAATATAGCTAAACAAATTTTGAACTATAAGATAAATAACTTCAGAGGATCTAATGTGCTACATGGAAACTGTATTAATACTCTGTTGCTTACTGGCAAGTGGATAAGAGAGCAGACATAATTATCTTCATCCCTACACACACACACACACACACACACACACACACACACACACACACAACTGTGAATGTTAATGATGTGTTAATTTGACTGTGGTAGTTATTATACAAGATGAGTATATACCATTATATACCTTATGCAAGTCTGTAAATTGAATATACATTAAAAAATCCCTCCAAATACATTACATGAGAAATAATAAAAACAACAAAGTTTGATTAGATGAAGAGGACTAATTGCCCCCTTATCTCCAGGTTACTTACACGTAAAACAAAAACAAACAAACTTTAGAAACTCTCTACATGCCAGTGAGTGCTTTTAAGGGATTAGAGAGAGGAAAATACTGCTGGACTTCAGGCTGGCAAAGAAATGTAGCAGACAATGCTGTTATTATTATCTTAACCCCAGGAGACCATCCAACAAAAATGTGGGTGAACAAAGTCAGCTTGTTTCTGGAGTATTACACAAGCAGGATTCTCCAGGGTCTCCTAACATTAGGTCCTAGGCCACTGCAGCCTCTTCCTGCACTCTAGCCCCATTGTCTACCCTGCAGTTGTCTCTTTTTCCCTGTGTAATACACTGGTTGTCAGTAGGCCTATATAGTGACTTTAGATAAGGAAATTTAATATCTCACGTGCCTCAGTCTCCTCATTTGGTAAACACTAGTAACAGTGAACAGCTTCTAAGATTGACAGAATTCAAAGAGGTGGGCATAAACCAGGCATGGAGGCACATACCTGTGGCCTTCATCACTCAGGAGAAGGATCAGAAATCTTCAGCTACATAGGTAAATTTAAGGCCAGCCTGGAATTAATGAGGCCCTCTCTGCCACGAAGACAGCCATAATAGTATTATGTGATACTAAAAGGAAACTAGGTTCTGGAGTCATAATACCTGGGATGTGCCTTCTGAATACACTGCACAGATAGTTTCACATGCCACTGGAAAATGGGATGTGTATTCTGAATACACTATTGACGGTGGAGAAATGGTTTCACATGCCACTGGTTTCCTCACACGGAAAATGGAAGTAGCATTACCACCTTCCTCCTGCGATTACCCTAAGAATCTATTTTAAAACTAAGAACCTGTCACCCTTTCTCTGCTAGACTATCTTGAAACTTCATACATGCTTGCTGCCACATATTCGGGAAAGTGAAGTGCTGAGGTATATTTTCTTTGTTGGCCCAACTCTTTCAGAAGTGGGATAAGTTTGTTGCCAGTTTTCAGGAGACAAATCAGCCAATTTACTTCCTCAGTTAAAAGGTGCTACTTTATTGTTCCTTTTTGTCAAAGTACTTAGTCTGGAATTGGACATTAATGAGAACATTCGATTACTGTGTCCTGCACTTACAACAGAGTCTGAAACAAACTAAATATTGAATAAACGTGTGGACCCAGTGATCGCGTGAAAAATGAACTGAAGCAAGTGGCTCCATCCCAGGGTTTCCTTGAGCCACAATTTTCTGTGAAAGATGATCCCAGTTTCCTTGAAGTGAAACAAGAATGTGCTGAGATGGAGGACCCTTTCACTTTATCCTAGTCCCTGTTCTGCTCTAACACGGGAGATTATATTCTGAGAAGAGGATCGCTTTCTTCGCATAAACCACTAAATTTCGACGTCCTCCAAAATGGATGAAGTAGTTGCTAAGGCTGGGCAGGAGGAAGTGGAGGAGAGAGCTGCAGACTTTAGACGGAACCAGATGCTCGCCTCTGTCGCCGAGACAAACCATCCAGACACCCGAGGGCGCTGCGCTGGGATCCTTAAGACTCTATGGTTGTTGTTTCCCACAGCTCTGAGGAAGTGTACCCAGGCCCCTCCCATAAACTTCCGTTGCCAGCGTTTCCTCTTTCTTTCAGCGCTGACATTGCTCGTGCGAACATGGTATGGTGGTCTGTTGGGGTTTGGTAGAATCCAGCTCAATCCTTGCACCGGCCGGGACATTACCGTCCCACGATGCACCTAGGCTCAGGCATGACCTCGATACTCACAGGAAACAGCATAGCCAAGAGCAACACAGGAAACCGAATTATGGGTGGAGGAATTGGCGTAATGGGGTGGCTTAGCGGTGTTTAGAGACACTGTTTGATGGCGCATGTGACTACAACACCTTTTAGAACTACATGGACATTGTATATTAGTACAGGCTGATTACTTGTAGAGTTAGTCAGCTTTGCTTTGGATCCAGCAAGGACGCCGGGCCATTGTGGCCCAGTAACTGCACATTCTAAACAGTTAATTTTTACTAGGTGAACGTTCCTAAGACCCGCCGGACATTCTGCAAGAAATGTGGCAAGCACCAGCCCCACAAAGTGACACAGTACAAGAAGGGCAAGGATTCTTTGTATGCCCAGGGTAAGCTACTCAGATAAAATTTTGGGGTGAACATGTGGAGTTGGTCAGACAGAAAGACCAGAACCTCTATATGTAAGGCAGGCTGGCCTGGAATAAGCATTCCTGCCTTAGCCTTTCAAGTTTTGGGGTTGTACCTGTTCCCTGACGTGCCAAGTTTTGATGTCGCACGAAGTGTACTAACATCCAGGTATTCCCATCTCCTTAGGTGTGGATATTTCTTAATGCAGGTCAGCCCCAGTTTTAAACCTAAGACTTTTCCTTTGGGCTATTTAGACTGATCTGTACCATACCCTAATGAATAACTTTTTCCCAGGGAAGCGGCGTTATGACAGGAAACAGAGTGGCTATGGTGGGCAGACTAAGCCTATTTTCCGCAAAAAGGTTAGTGATTAGTAATTGACACCTTTCTTGCTTACTGTGGTAAAGACCTTGCATTTGTCTTGTCTACAAGCATTGCTATAGTGTTAATCACAGCAAAGTTATTCCACTTGCAGCACAGACTTTCAGGAGCACTGGAGCTTGAGGTAATCCAGATCTGACGCTAGTCTAGAATCCTCAGTATTCACAGTACTTCCCAAAAAGGCAAAAAAAAAAAAAAAAAAAAACTTAAGACATATGTCTTGACTCTAAGAACTTAATTATGTGTATGCCAGTAAGACCTTTTTCATCCATTTATTGCCATGTCCAAATCGTCAGCTCTTTATTGCAACAAAAAAATTGTTAGTGCTTATGAATTACGAAGAACTTTGGAACACAGCATTTTTTGTAGCTGTTTTCCTCCTGCCAGCCTGCTTGCAGAAACAACTAAAATGACTTCATTTTAAAAAGCTTGGGCGTCAGATGAATGGGAATGCTTGGTTGCTTAGATGACCAGCCAGATTGTTTGAAAGATGTTTCAGCTTTAAAACTTCGAAATAGCAACAAAACTGATTGGTAGTAGCTGGGTGTGGTGTCACACACCTTTAATTCCAGGAGGCAGAAGCGGAATTTAATAAATTCAAAAAGGTGTATTTTATAGTTGCATGAATTTAGGTGTCTTTTATTTTATTCACCCACTAAACAATAAAAGTGGTCCTTTTTATTTTTCACCCCCCTACATACACAGGGTTTCTCTAGGATTGGCTGTGTAGACCTGGCTGGCCTCACAGATCCATCTACCTCACAGAGTGCTGGGATTAAAGGCTTTTATCATGTTACCTGGCTGTATAAATTCAAAGTAGTGGGTTTTTTTTTTTTTTTTTTGGTTTGGACACACTCATGTGGCTGCACCTTGTCTACTTCCAGAGTGCTGAGAACACAGCTGTGTTACCAGCACGTACAGCCTCCGTTTTGTTGCTGTTTTCTAGTAAGATCATTGGCTACTGAATTTTCTTTTTACTCTGTAGCTAAATACAGATCATGGCAAAATTTAAGGATTTCACTTCATTTCTTTTCTAGGCTAAAACTACAAAAAAGATTGTGCTGAGACTTGAGTGTGTTGAGCCCAACTGCAGATCAAAGAGAATGCTGGCTATTAAGAGATGCAAGCATTTTGAACTGGGTGGCGATAAGAAGAGAAAGGTACCCCTCTTTTTTTGTGTCTGTATTTTTTGGAGGGAGTGGGCGGTTTTATGTTTTGAGACAATTTCTCTGTCTTTTGTCCTGGATAGACCAAGGTGGCCTTGAACTCAGAGATCCACCTACCTCTAGAACGCTGGGTATACTCCTAATGTGTAGTTTTATACAGGTATGGCTATATAGAGGTACCTGTTTCAGGATTACTCACTGTCATAGTATACCTTCAAAGATACTTGTCCATAGTTGAAGGTACAAGTTTGCATCTTCCATATCTGAAATGCTTGGGACCAGTAGTATTTTATTTTTAGTTTTTTTAAATCAGATTTGAATTTTGCATTTATTTTATTAGTTGAAAAATCTAAAAATTTGAACACCAGTATGACTAAATAAATGGCTTCAGCATCTCAGTGTGTAGATTTTACTGTTTGTAATTGGGAAAGGAAGAGACAACATGGTCTCCTTCCAAAGTGTTTTGCTGTCTTGGATTGAACCCAGAGCCACGGTAGGTTCCCAAGTACATGGCCAGCCCATGGATAGTGTGAAGATTCCTTAAAACTACAAAACAATACTTTTTCTGTTCTACTTCCAGGGCCAAGTGATCCAGTTCTAAGGTGATTCGGTTATGAAGACAATAAGATCATGAGCCTTTGTTCACCTCACTTGATTGCAGTTGGTCTTTTGCGGGGGAATAAACTAAAGTTTGTGCTTGGCAGTTGAGTATTTCATTTGAACCTTGTTGAGTGGTGTGAAATATGACTTGTGCTTGGAACAGTACTTGGTATTTAAAATATATGAGTTAGTTACTAGTTATCATAAAATTCTAAGCAGAGATTTGTTTCAAGGACCAGGTCATTAACACATCTGGAGTGATTATGAAGCTTTAGCCCGTCTTGTCTGGGCATCATAGTACAGTCCATTCAATATAAGCTACTGGCTTTAGATTTTTCACTCCTTAAGCATCTTGATACACTTTTTAGGTGAGATTTTTACTGTTGAATTGCCCCCTTCCTCCAACGTTTTTCAGTGTAACCCTAGCTGTCCTGGAACCAAAGGTCCCAGGGTCAAATTCAGGTCATTGAATTTTCCTGAAAATTATTTTCAGAGTATCAAAGATGTATATACTTTAGCTTGTGAATTTGGGGCTTGGCTTCTTTTTAAAATAGATATTCTAGGCAGGTCTCATTGTGATCCTGTATTAGCTTTCTGCCCACTGTGGTGACAGATGCACAGTCTAACTGGTGAGAGAAGGTAAATAAGGAATGGTGAAGGCAGATTTTTGAATTTTAGAAACTACGTTAATTATTAGAAGCCTCATTGCACCCTACTGAAGAGCATAAAAACAAGGATAATAACATTGTAGAAACTTCTTTGATACATAAAGGCTGTCTTTTAAATAGGGAAGGTTAAGTTCTTATTGTAAAGTAAGAATTAAGCTTATTCAGAGTTTGAAGAGTCTGGTACCAGTGATCATACAGCTGGACAAGGGGGAAGATCCAAGCCTCTCCTGTTCAGTTAATCTGCTTGGTACAGGATTTGTGATCACGATCTTTCAGGGATGCCCTGATTTATTGTTCATGAATAGTCATTAGATGTTAAATGTAAACTGATGTGATCACTGTTGTAAGAATTATAAACCCTGTGGCCCTGAGAAACTTGGATCCTCTATAACCTGCCTCCTGAGGGCAGGAAGAAAGAATACATTCCCAAAGGCTCAGAAAATATTCTGACTGGTATATCTGGTGCAATTTCTTCACATCGCCTGCTACATCCACCCCTCCTCAAGCCCTGTTCTTTGCTGGGGCTGGTCTCCACCGGGTCTCCGGTTCAACTTCAGTTTCGGGGGATCCCGTGCTCTCTTCTCACTTCCTGTGCGCCAGGCATACAAATGGAATATACATATACACAAAACAATAAATCCTGTATCTATCGAGTCTAGTGGGTAAACACCTGGTGCAGAGTAATGAGGACAGGAATGCTCACTTGATTTCAAAAGCCTTCCCAAAAACTTGCCTTCAGAAATAATTTTTAGGGGCTATAACTTTGGGATATTTTTTATTTAAAGGGGAAACAGGAAACAGGTCAGTCCTTAACAAAACCAGGCACTGAATGTAGATATCTGCCTTTGGGTAGCTTATCTTTCTATCCGAAGCAAAACAGTGCCTGAGGGATTTATTCGAGTTTTTAAGTTCAAAGTCCATTCATAGAAGCCTAGCTGTGTTTTCACTGGAAGGAGCTGCGTGATGAAGCAGCTAGGATTGCAGGCTACTCCTTGACCCAGGGAAGAAAGCTGGATGGTATAAAAACGAGGTCCACCAATTTCCTGCAGGTTTCTCAGGGCTACGGCCCAGGCTAAGTTTGAGAGTGGTCGTTCCCAGACCTCAATGTAGTTTTCCTGAAAAGCCAAGAAGACAAGTATGAGCACATGGTAACCCTCATTACTGGCCTTATTTGATATTCAGCCTTATTTTTACAACTGTCATGCACTTGGAGGAAAAACTAAAAATCTGCCAGCAGTATATTTTAGAAGTTAAAAAGTAATGTCTAGCTGGGTGCGGTGGTACATAGCTTTAATCCCAGCATTCTTGGGGTGCAGAGGCTGGTCTACAGAGTAAGCCCCAGGACAGGGTTAAACAAAAAAAAAAAAAACAAAACCCTGTTTTGAAAAACAAAAGACGTCATACAACTGGGTATGGTAACATACTCCTTTAATCCCAGCTCTCAGGGAGATGGGAATCTCTGTGAGTTCAAGGCCAGCCAAGGCTACCCAGAGAAACCCTGTCTTGAAAAACAAAAACAGAAGACCATATCAACCAAAGTACATAAAGTTCTTGGAAAGTCTCTAAATGTACTAACCTTGCCTTTTAGCTTTGGCAGTTTTACTTCTGGCTACGTGTTCTTGTTAACTGAAGTATGTCCACCCAGAGCATGGTTTTTATACTTAAAAGCTCATCCTGAGAAAGGCTCAAGGCTACACTGGGATCCCAAACACCCAGTATAGTTGCAGCCAAGTACTAAGACTTTCTCTTGGTTTAAACCCATGTCAGAGTAACCTCTGGCAGACACTCCACAACAAGCATGGTTCACAGAGCTAGTTCCAGGACAGCCAGGACTACAACATAAATCCTGTCTTGAAAAATAAAATGTAATAGTTCTGGTAAAAGTTCTATTAACCACTCAGTTACCAAGCTCAAGGAAAAACTAACAGAAAAAAGTCAGTCATGTCCTCATACAGCAGTTAGTCTTGAGATAATTCCATACTTGAGTATGGGAAATACAAAGTACCATAAATCATAAATTTTAATGCAGGATAATATGTTCCTGGATAATTTTCTCTCAAGAAGCATTACTTACCTTTCTAAAACAGTACCCCTGCTTGCCCAAGGGGTCTTGGTTGATGGCAATTACATCCCTATTCTGAAGTAGGGCTTTGGCTTGAGAGCTGATTTGTCGGAGATCATTGGACATGAGTAGAGGAGCTGCCATGATAGCCCAGAGGGCCATCTGTGTTACCTGCTGGTCCCAACTGAGGCCAAAGTTGCCAATCACTAACTAAGACAAAGAGTGAAATAAGTCAGATGAGAGATTCAACTGTCTAGGTTTCTGTTGTTCATTGGGGGCACATAGGTCCTTGTGCTTACTGAAAAGCATTAAGGAAATGAAAACAAGGAAGGTAAAGCACACATGGGACCCTTGTCTCAATGGAGGAGATAAAACACCGGTTTTCCGGCTGGGAGTGAATTTTGTTAACATCCGGGTGACCTTTTTGCTATTTGTGGAGGCAGACCTCTCCCACCATTTGCTATAGAGGCAGACCTCACCCAAATCCAACAGAATGATCATCCCATACTCTTCTCTCCGTAGACTGTTACCCATCCTTAGGGGAGATGTTACAAGTTCTTTAGGGCCTACTGACCTCTATGTTCTTAGTCAGAGACCACACTAGATTCTAGGCGTTTTAGCTACAGAACCCACCCTCACAGTCATATGTACTGTGTAAAAGAGTTTATATGTAGTCACACCTTAAGCTTTATTGTGCACCTGGGATTGGACTGATTGTTGCCTGAAAACCTTTTCCCAAATTGCAGTGTTTTAAATATGCCAACAACAAACCACCTGGCATTAGACTCCCCAAAGACTGATCCAGATTGGCAAATTAAATCTGCACTGGGTTTTCATTTCTATCTCTTAGTGAGGTTTACCTCCCTGCCTGGATATCTGCAGGGACCCCTCAGTAGTTTGATTGTTTGTTTTTGTCTGTTTTTTTTTTTTTTGGAAATAAGGTCTCACTCTGTAATCCAGGCTAACCATTTGCTCTTGAATTTGGAGCAATTCTCCTGTATCAGCCTCGAGTGCTGAAACTCCAAGTAAAAGGAGCAAAACCATTTTCTACAGCACTATGATGTTAAGTGCTCAAGGAAAGCCTATTCTTGGGATTCAGTGTGTAGTTCAGTGCTTAGTAACCTTGCTCAGCTTGTGCTAGGCCCTGGTTTCAGACCCAAGCAGCAACATAAAAAAAAAAAAAAAAAAAAAAAAAAAACAGCTCTGACATGAGGAGGGTTCAGATCTTTACCATGTCTGGGTCATTCCAACCCCCTGGTCCAGCGACTTCAACAAGCTCCTTCTGGTTAGCTATTGTCGAGATCAAGATATTCTTTATGCTTTGCCAGGAATCATAAACATCATCAAAATACCTCCACTGATTGCAGTAATATTGGATATCTGTATAATTGGGCTGTAAAAAGACAGAATTATTTACAATCTTAACTTTCCTGTGAGATGCTGATGACCTAGGTAAAGTAGCTACTGGTAGCCTCTATAGTCTAAAGATCCAAAGTTTCCCATAATAAAACCTGACCATCTTTTATAGTTCTAAATCTAAGGGAATTTCACTGAAAGATGGTCACTTTATAAGTATGCCATATAATTTAAGTACCTGTTTAATGTGACTTTAATATTTATGCTGGACATGCACTGAACTTTGGTATCTAAATATTGGCATGATGAAAAAAAATCTTTGTTTTCACTGTAAGATTGCCTAAAATGGTCATGCTGCTATTTTTGCAATAAAATAATTACAATGATCTAAATGGTAAAAATAAAATTATATAGGATGCCATCAAACATGATAAAAATCTGAATCCAAGACAAGTAATTTGTGGAATGAATCAGTTTGTAGATATGTAGGTATGACATCCAACGTATAAAATGCAAAGGAAAAAGTTAGTCTATCTAAAGATTTTAAGAAAACAATATGGATTAATTCTGTGAACACTTAAATGCCTACCCTTCTGGATTTCCATTCTAGTGGGAAGACAAATGAGTGAACAAGAAAAGCTAAGGTCTTGGGGGCGGGGGACCAAACAGCTAATGACTAGAGGGTGAATGGGCAGAAGGCTATTTTAAAGTAGAAAAGACCAAAGCATGTAGTGTCTGGTCAGTTTTCAATGTTAAGTAGCCAACCTTTATTAAAATCTTGGGGGACAATTTGTCAGAAAACAATGAGCAAGTACATCATCATAGACTTATATAAAAATGTCTTTGTGTGCCCAGTACCATCTATGTACAGTGAATATACATCAATGGGGTAAATATGGTAGTTGATAAACTGAAAGAAAAGAGTGCAGTGAGGAAAAGAGCTGTAGGAAGATAGATGTAGTCAAGAGGCAGGTTGCTAAAGTTTGATTTTATTGCAACTGCAATGGAAAGCCAGTAACTTTCTGAAGAAGAGACTGATGGGATGTCCTTAAAATTTCTCAGGAGACAGTTCTGTTGCTCCTAGGAAAATGCTGGGAGGAAGAAAGGGATCAGAAGTAGCTCAGGCTGTCAGAGCAGGCTGAGTGAGATGAGAGTGGCCTGGAAGGCCAGCGTGGATGTGGTGAGGATAGAAAGTTAGTGAATTCAAGAGAGATTTCAGAGCGAATATTAGCAGTATTGTTAGTGAGAAGGATAGGAACAGTGAAAAAAAGGCAAAATCAAAGATTTTTTTCCCAGGTGGTGGAAGCTTACACTATAATTACAAGCAATGTAGATAGTGAGAAGTGCTTCTTTTTACTCAAGTTGTGAAATTTAGATTCTGGGCTCACTAGCTCACCTTATGAAAGGGTCTCATATATAGAGGCCACTCACAGGAGTATACAATGCTTCTGCCCGTCCTATTCAAGGCCAAGGACATGTACCTATAACCTGCATAAGGAAAATAATGGGTAAGATAAGCGAAAGAAGGGAATTTTCAGCTAGTGCTGTACATCTCATGAGCCCACTTTATATTTTAAATTAGTAACAGACTGCTCTCTACTTAAATTGTGACTGCTAGGTTGCTCTGACGAGATGGTACAGAGATGATACATATATAGAGGAAAGGCAGGGATAAGATGCTTCTTTATGAAATTCTGGACTCTCACAAACAATGTCAGATCTAGTTACAATTATTAACTATAATTTCTTCCCAGGGTCCTTGAATCAAAAATGAACAGTACATGCCAGGTCCCATGGTAGGCATGTATGAATTCTACATAGATGAATAAATGATACTGATTAATTCTTTGGCTGGATAGTGGTGTTTAATCCCAGCACCCAGGAGGCAGAGGCAGGCAGATCTCTGAGTTCAAGGCCAGCCTGGTTTACAGATGAAGTTCTAGGGCAGCCCAGGCTGTACACAGAAAGAAAGGAAAAAAAAGAAAGAGAAGAAGAGATTAGCTCTTTGGAGGCTCAGCTTCCCTGTGGCCTCAACTCTTGTCTCTGGCTAGATCTCTCAGTTGATGTTAAACAAAAGGCTGAGAAATGATCATGGCTAAATCTTTTGAAGAAAACATACCATTTTGGCTGGTGAGATTGCTCAGCCACTAGTAAAGATACTTTCTGGCAAGCCTGAGGACCTCAGTTTGATTCCTGCGACTCATATGGTTGGAAAGAGAGAACCAATTCCTTCAAGTTGTCTTCTGCCTTCTCAACAGTCAACACAGCACATACAACCCCCACCCATACACAGTCACACACACCATAAATCATTTTTATTTTGTTGATTTTAACGTAATTTTAAAAATATAATTAAAACCCAGAAACATACCATCTTCCAAGGATATCATACTGTCACAGTGACAACCATCAAATTTTAGCAGATCTACACCCCAGTCAGCAAATGTCTGGGCATCAATGTCATAGTATCCAAAACTCCCAGGGAAACCTGCACAGGTTTTATTCCCAACATCTGCATAAATACCCAGCTTCAATCCTTTGCTGTGGACCTGAAATGAGAAGAAAGATGGACTACAACAGACGGTCAATCAGGAGGGGTCCACTTACTAAGGCTAAGAGTGGAGAGATGTGTGCTTGCTTGTCCAGGTCTTGGGCCTTCGTTCCTTAAAGCACTTCAGTTTTCTAGCTGAGTTTATTGTAAACAGAGAACAAATCATCCAACTCTACTAAGAAAGTTTTAACTATAAATGTGAACTGTAACTCAGAAGTGATGATAAAGCAATGACCACTTTAATATTCCTCACATGATCCTAAACAGTCTCTTTAATATGATAGATTTATCTTGAGAAAGGCTGACATTTAAGTTAAGCCTCTCTGACTCTCCTCCTGTCTCGGCCTTCTTGGTGTCTATCTGGGTAACCTCACTTACAGCAAGAAACCCGCTAAGTTATACCATCCCTTGACCTTGATGTCTCCTTTTAGTAGTTTTCCATCTACTGAACTCCCAGTATTTGCTCACTGGTTGTAGGTTCTCACATGTCCATCTGACTTGAAACTTGACCTTTCTTTCCTACAGTACTGAATAAAATCTGCCTAATTGCCAGGCCTCATTTGTTTTCAATAGTCTCCAGAATATTTGCTTTCATCCTTTAAAATTAAGAATATTGAATAACTATATACTTAATAGTATGGTATAACTGTGGTAGCCTCTCATGCTAATATGGAAATACAAGCAGGCATGATACAACCACATTCTCCTTTTCTCCTAGAGGATTCAGTGGTTTGAGCAAAAAGTGTTTCAACAAAGGCAGGCCTCAGGAGCTATTGCAAAATGTGTATAGGCTAATGTGATAATTCTACATTATAACTTATTTTTCAGACAATAGAAACCATTCCATTTTCAAAGTACCTTGTGGCTTGTTTCTCAATAAGCCTTCCTAAGCCATAAGAAACAATCAGCTCTAAACTCACATAATTAGCTAGGTGTTGGATCCCATTAGGAAAGCGCTGGGGATCTGCCTGAAGCCGGCCATTTGAATCCCGTTGGAGAGCCATCCAACAGTCATCTATGCAGAGGTATTCATAACCTGCATCCTTCCAGCCATCAGAGACCATGAGCTCTGCCATCTGCATAAACAGTTGCTCACTGAAAAAGAAATTCTAACAGTCATTCCAATTTATGAGGGCTCAAGCCCTCCATTTTAAGGCACATTGGGATTTCAGTTTCTAAAACTGCAGTGATACTGTGGTAGTAATCACAACCCATATGAGTTAAAATTAACTACCCTTCCTGTTACTCCTCTCCCACTACCTCTGACCAAGAATTCAAAGAAGGGGTGGAACTCTCAGTTCCATCCCAAACCACAGAAGAAATAAACAGAAACTCAAAATAATTAATGTAAGGACGAGACACATGACAAAATCGATAAGTCATTGCAACTAAGAAGCCGTGCTGACACAGGCTTGTACTCTCAGCTATTGCAGAAACTGAAACAGGAGGGTCTGCAGGTACAAGGCATGTCTGGCCTGCATACATGCAGGGAGATCTCAGCAGAGTAAGAGTTTGCATAATAAACAGCTTCTGGTATCAGCTTTACCTGTGTAGAGAAAATAATCTCATCCACAATAGTAACAGAAAGAAAAAAAAATCAGACACAGCAAAAGCTAGGATACCCAGAGGTTAATATATTTATCAATTAAATGTTAAAACTATCATGCTCTTCAATGACTTAAATAAATGGAGAAAAATTGTCTTAAAGAAATAGATTAATTAATTAAAACATAATTAAACTGCACATGGTCTTACATGCCTGTAAACCCAGCAAATAGGAAGTGGTAGCAGAAGAACCCCCAGTTCAAGACTACCAATTCCTACCATGGTGTTCAAGACCCTCGGCCATGTCTCCAAACTTCAAGAGAAACAAACAAGTTAAATGATTTGCCTAAAGCTACAATGCAGTAGAGTTTGAACCCAGGCAGGGCACTGGGGTCTTGATGGCACCCACTCATACATAAAGGTAATGCTATTTTTATGGAAGTCAGTTAGAAATCTGTGTTTTCATTTACATAATAAACAATTGCAAGATTGTATATATTATTTCTGGATGATAATGAGGGAGGCTATTTTCTATTATGTCATTTTTACCACTTACTTATTTTCAAGAACTGTGCATTGAAACAACAAACAAGCAAGTAAACAAACAAGGAAAAAACATAAAACACCCAAGAGAAACAAAACAAAAAGACAAAAAGCCAGTATTGGCAAGTTACCACAGATTTTCATCTCAGGGACACAACAGACATAGTATGAGAATGAGAAAGTCAGTTTCTTTTATGTCTGACTAACACCTTGATTTTATCTTTATAGGCAATCAGAGAAATAACTCATGAACACACAGAGAGTTGTGTCAATTGCCTTTATGGGTGGTTTTGCACCACTAGGGTGACTTTACCCCTTTTTCACTAATATTTATAGGGGAGCATTTCAATATCTAACACTTGATTCTTAACATTTTCTAGATCACATATTCATTAAAAAATCTGAAGAAGCTGGATGTGGTGGTACACACCATTAATCCCAGCATTTGGGAGGCAGAGGCCAGCCTGGTTAATAGAGTGAGTTCCAGGACAGCCAGGGCAGAGAAACCTTTTCTCAAAACAACCACAAAAATTAAAAGAAAACATTTTTAGAAAAATGCCCATATGTTTGTAAACTTACAATCCATTTTCTTATCCATGCCAGGAAAGATACATGTGTTTTACTTGCCTAATTGAGAGGGTCAAAGTATGACTGGTTGGTTTTTTTAATGGGTTTATTTAACTGAAAGTTCATCTGTGAGAGACATGCATTTTTGCAACTCATTCTTTTTGAGACACAGTCTTAATGCAGCCCTGGCTAGCCCTGAACTCAACAGATCTGCCTGCCTCTGCCTCTGGAGTGCTGGAATTAAAGTCTTGCACCACCATGCCCATCAGTATTACAGCTTTTTCTGTGTCAGCTCCCTGAGTTAAAAAGGACATTTTTTTCTAGTTTGCAAACTAGGATTGTGAGCATCAGAGAGCTTCAACCTGGTCTCAACTCTCGCCTTTAATGTGTGAAGTTCCATCAGGTCAACCTTCCAGTCTGATGCCACACTCAAGAAAAACAGATTGAGGGACATCTCAGTTATCCCCTGGTTTCTCTAACTCTCACTTCAATACAGCCAAAGAACCCGTGATCCAAAAAGAAAAAAAAAAAATTGACACTGTTCTTAGTCATCCTCCTACCCATTCTAACTCTCCATATGACTAGCTCAAGGCTAGCACTAAACAAGGGCAGGGTACAAACCCACACAAAGGGTTTGTATGGAACAAAATGATCAATTAAAAACTCTATTGCAGGGTGGTGGAACGGGAGTGAAGCACTGGATGCTGGTTATGTCCCAACTAAGGATAGTTCACATAGATAATAGTTTAGGGACAGTCCACATCCCGGATGGGATATAAAAATTTTAATTTAATACAATATAAAAGTATAAAACATAAAAATTGCTGGAGATAACAAAGCAGTAATAAAAACGGGGGGGGGGGCGGTATAGGGACTTAGCTCAGTGGTAGAGCGCTTGCCTAGGAAGCGCAAGGCCCTGGGTTCGGTACTCAGCTCTGGAAAAAAGAAATTTAAAGACAAAAAAGCAGCAATAATTGGGGATCGACACCTCCAGCTCAAACATTCCCATTCCTCCCATCAAATACACCCACACAAATCCGGAAAGAGAACAAACCACTTAGTATGTCATACCTGATGCAGGCATCAGGCTCTTCTTGGCAGTTAAGGTTGCACATGAAACGTTCCCAGTGCAGCCAGCCCATAGTAGGAGTCCGCGCCAAGCCATTGTCCAATGCTCTGGCCCCAAGAATGCTCCAGAAAATTAAGGCCGGGGGAAGAAAAGCAAGCTCACAGATCAACCGCGAATCTCTGCTCAAAAGCTTCATGGTCACAGCAATTCTTTGATTCAGTTTCCTGCAGTTAACATTTACCCTTGGGAAGAACCAATCGGGGATAAACTACCCAATAATGACATCATCGTTTCTCAGGCAACTGGACAGTTATCACCAGATGTGGACCAATGAACAATCACGTAAAACATACATCCACCAATCATATAGATGCTCTCCTTACCTTGACCCACCCTATTGCCAAACGAGAAGGAAGTGCGGCACCTCAGTGATCCTGAGTTTAAGCCGAGTTGCTCACGTGACCGAGATCTCACATGACGTAGGCGCTCACGTGATCAATCGCTTACGTGAGCAGAAGTAGTTCTGGTCGTCGTCTATCGTCTCGCTATAGCCCTTTGAGGGAAGAAGAAGGAAAATCCTCCGGTCTCGTTGGAGGTTGGTGTGTGGGTGGAAACTGGGGACCCTGGGTGGTGATAAGGAAGAGCAGAGCGGGGTCTGGGGTCGCCTCTGCCTTTTTAGTGCTCGGCCTCCCCACTTCCCCCACCCCACTAGCCCCCCCTCCCCCTCCCCGAGTGCCGGGAAGCGGCCTGCGCTGCGCCTGGTAGGGAAATGGTGGACGGTTGTGACTGTGTGCGTGTTTTTGTAAATCAGTTCTTTGGCCGCTTCTCGGGGGACCTTTCCCCCTCTGCCCGCAAGAGGGACCCGTAAGGTGAAAAGCATTTCAAACACGGCCCAGAGTTAGGAAAAAAATAATAATAATGAGACCCGCGGTCGGAGCGCCGCTCCATCCATTCAGGCGCTCAACTGTTCAAACTGCACGATGGTCGCAAGGGGTCCCGAGTAAATTACACCCTTAGAGTATGAGCTGAGCAAGTGATGCGTGCGCGAGAGGCGCCCAATAAATGCTTTTACTTATTATTTGAATCTGTTTTTTGCTTATAGCGATCTACGAGTTGAATTTTGGTCATTCAAAAAGTAAAATAATCGTTTAAAAGGGACACTTTCAGCACTACCCAACTCTTACTACAGATACAAAAAGTGTGCTGTAGCACAGGTATAAGTACACAGATTTTAACTCACAAATCCTGGTTATCACGTTAGGTAACAGAATCCTGGTGGCCTCCTCAGGAAATGTAAGGAAGGAAAACCTCCCAGTCACTAGGGAGGACCTGACCTATTGATGCAGAATGCTGTAGAGATCACCATTGTCCCTGGGATGTTCTACTAAATTATTCTTCCAGCCGACCGTTAATCTGAACAAAATAAAATAAAATAAAACCCCATAAACTTAATAGCCACTGTTAACATTTTATGTCCAGTCCCTATCATTACACACAAAAAGTTTAAAAAGTGTTTTATCATATTTTCCATGCTTATGTTTTTTTCTAAGGTTATTGTTCCATTATGGTGAGCTTAAAGAACTAAAAGTATGAAAGTGTATATATTAAAAAGTGAAAAGCTGCCTTCAATCCCTTGTTCTCCATTTGTTGAAGCTACTTTCAGATCGTCTCTCACACAATTATACACTTGTTTTCATTTGTGAATATTTTAATAGAAGTAGGATTATACTATGCATGTTCATTCATTCAGTGTATTTTGAAAATCTTTCTAGGTAAGGGCAGATCTTTTATTAAGTGAGTGCATAGAATTCATCCATCTTGCTGATAGCTATTTAGTTTTCTGATTTTTTTGCCATTACAGTGCTGCAAGCAAACATTTTTTTAAGTCTTTCTGTCGACCAGATTCGTGGAAGAAACTCTAGCAGGGTCAAAGGGTATGTGAATTTTTATTTTTATTTTTATTTTTTTACATAAATGGTTTTGATCATGAATCATTTAAAAGTTTGTAACTATATTAAATGTATAATGTTCCACTCTTTTTCATAAAATGCCTTAAAAATAATACATAGTTCAATAAGTCCTGCTCTTAATTTCAGATAATTCCTTAAGGCACATACCTGCAGTGGATTTTCTGTCAGAAAGTGTGGTAAATATACCAAAATGTTTTTCCAGAATAGCAAATCAGTTTTTCACTCTTCTAGGGAACACTCAGTAATGTTGACTTATTGTCCCTGTTTAACTTGCACCAGTTTTGATGGGTATTAAAATATTTATTTTACTTTAAATTTCATTTCAAATGAAGTTTGAACATTTTCTAGACTTTTCCAATACACTCTTTTCCCCCTGTATTTTAATTTGTTTTTGAAGTTAAAATTACATCATTTTCCCCTTCCCTTTTCTTCCCTCCAAACCCTCCCATGTTTAAGCAGATCCCTACCTTGCTCTCTTGCCAATTCTTGGCCTCTTTTTCTCAGTTTTTACGTATGTATGCCTATTTCTAAATAAAATTTGCTCGGTATATTTTGTGTGCATGTTTTCAGTGCTGACCATTTGGTAGTAGATAACCAATTGGTATGCTCTGCCCTGGGGAAGACTACCTTTCCCCACTGTCAGTATTCCTTAGTTGCCTGAAGTCCAATATCCTCTTTTGTTGTTGCTTTTTTTTTGGGGGGGGGTGTCTCACTATGCATTCCTGCCGTCCTGGAACTCCCTCTGTAGACTAGGCCGGCCTCAAACTCACAAAGACCCGCCTGTTTCTGCTTCCCTCCCTCAGTACTGGGATTAAAGGCATGCACCACCACACCTGCCTCAAGGGGTCATTTTTAAGTTTGCTCTTTTCACTCATTTCCCCTTCCTTCTGTTTGAATGCTACATTTGCCTGGGTGATAAGTCTGAAAGGGCTGTAATGAGATAATTCCTGCTTAAAATCCATAAAAGGTGATGTATATAAATACACATAGGTGCATATATCTCCATGCCTTTCTACACCCAGTGTCAGAGCCATAATGTACCAATGTCTTAAGGTTTGTGGGGAAGCACATGTTAAACAGTGGTGTGAATACTAAATCATCATGCTTGTGAACCAAACAAGAGTAGAGTCTCCTTATATTAAATAGAACCCTTAGGATCTTATCTCTTTCTTGATAGCCTTGTTTTTTGATTTTTGTCCCTTTTCATTTTGTGTACAATTAAACATTTTTTATAGTTTCTGGATCCTGGAACAGGATCAGGATAGTTTGTTCCAATTAAACCTTCTGCCTACAATTGATATACTCACCAACCAATCCTTCCTTTATTCTATGTATTTATACTTAGCTGTGGTGAAGATACACAGTTCTCCTGTAGGGCTGCTGTACTGGACCTGGCATCTAAAACATGCTTGAATATGTAAATTCTCATTAATGTCTTTTCCATTTATATCCTAGGCTTCAATAGTTCTGTATTTGATTGATTTGCATGCATTGTTTGTATTCTTAGCATATTAATGGAGTTGTTGTATCTTCCTATGAAATTTGTCTTTTGATTTCAAGAAAATTTTCATTTTTATATAATGAGATAAATACTTTGTTATATTTAGTTTTAATTCTCTTTCTGTGATGTTAATACATTGGGTCAGTGCAGAAATTTCAGAATATTCAAAAACATCTAAAGAGAAAAAAATACCCACAGAAACATAAAAGTCCTATAGTACTGCTACCCAGAAATTAATTATATCTGATACATAATAAAAATGGGATAAATAATTAATAAATGAATGAATGAAAAGTTCATTCAGCCTTTTTGTTAATGTGGGTATCTTTTTTTAAAAGTTACTAATGTGAATGTCTATAGTAATCATTTTCTTTGTTTCTTTTACTATATTGTATACAATTTTTCATGACAATAGTTTTCTAATTTTTTTAAAGCCACACTGAAATTGCATTGAGCCAAGCTTGTCACCAAGAGCCTACCAATCACCATGATGCTGAGCACAGAGGGCAGGGAGGGGTTCGTGGTGAAGGTCAGGGGCCTACCCTGGTCCTGCTCAGCTGAGGAAGTGATGCGCTTCTTCTCTGATTGCAAAATCCAAAATGGCACATCAGGTGTTCGTTTCATCTACACCAGAGAAGGCAGACCAAGTGGTGAAGCATTTGTTGAACTTGAATCTGAAGATGAAGTAAAATTGGCTTTAAAGAAAGACAGAGAAACCATGGGACACAGATATGTTGAAGTATTCAAGTCCAACAGTGTTGAAATGGATTGGGTGTTAAAGCATACAGGTCCAAATAGTCCTGATACTGCCAATGATGGCTTTGTACGACTTAGAGGACTCCCATTTGGCTGTAGCAAGGAAGAAATTGTTCAGTTCTTTTCAGGGTTGGAAATCGTGCCAAATGGGATGACACTACCAGTGGACTTTCAGGGGCGAAGCACAGGGGAGGCTTTTGTGCAGTTTGCATCACAAGAGATAGCCGAAAAGGCCTTAAAGAAACATAAGGAGAGAATAGGGCACAGGTACATTGAAATCTTCAAGAGTAGCAGAGCTGAAGTCCGAACCCACTATGATCCCCCTCGAAAGCTCATGACTATGCAGCGCCCAGGTCCTTATGATAGGCCAGGGGCTGGAAGAGGGTATAACAGCATTGGCAGAGGAGCTGGGTTTGAAAGAATGAGGCGGGGTGCCTACGGTGGAGGGTATGGAGGCTATGATGACTATGGAGGTTATAATGATGGGTATGGTTTTGGGTCTGATAGATTTGGAAGAGACCTAAACTATTGTTTCTCAGGAATGTCTGATCATAGATATGGAGATGGTGGGTCCAGTTTCCAGAGTACTACAGGACACTGTGTACACATGAGGGGATTACCATACAGAGCCACTGAGAATGATATTTACAATTTCTTCTCACCTCTTAATCCCATGCGAGTACACATTGAAATAGGACCTGATGGCAGAGTTACGGGTGAGGCAGATGTTGAATTTGCTACTCATGAAGATGCCGTGGCAGCTATGGCTAAAGATAAAGCAAATATGCAGCACAGATATGTGGAGCTCTTCTTGAATTCTACTGCAGGGACAAGTGGAGGAGCTTATGATCATAGCTATGTTGAACTCTTTTTGAATTCTACAGCAGGGGCAAGTGGAGGTGCCTACGGTAGCCAGATGATGGGAGGGATGGGTTTATCCAACCAGTCTAGTTATGGAGGTCCTACCAGCCAGCAGCTGAGTGGTGGTTATGGAGGTGGTTATGGTGGTCAGAGCAGTATGAGTGGATATGACCAAGTTCTTCAGGAAAATTCAAGTGACTATCAGTCAAACCTTGCTTAGGGAGAGGGTGTACCAAACAGCTTCTATAGGAATAAGAGCTACATTTATAGCAACTGGATAGAGTAGGAAGGATATCCAGCATATCCAGTATGATTGGGAAATGGGAAATACAATTGCTTCTGATCACTATTGGTCAGCTTCTTTCTTTCTTCTTTTTTTTTTAAGAACAAAATTTAAGTTTAACAGTTTTGCATTACAAGCTTGTGATTCATGCTTACTGTAAGATTGTTTTCAAACTTTAAGCTCAGCAATTTTGAACACTGAAAATATTCATCTAGGACATAATAACAAGTTCAGTATTGACCATAACTGTTAAATCCACTTTCAGCTTTCTAGTTAGATACATTGTAGGAGTGTACTTAAGCAGTAAGCATATTTAGGTTTAAAGCAGTTTCACTTATGTTAAATGTTGCTCTTACACCACAATACATCCAAAACTTCAGATGCATGTTGAGAAACATGCTTTTCTGTAAAAATCAAATATAGGAACCGTGTCTGATTCAAAGTGACAACATTTGGCATGTTTGTTAATTCTAGCTTTTTGGTTTAATATCTTGTAAGGCACGTGAGTGTACACTTCCACTTTTTCTTTTTAAAGATCTGGGACAATTTTGAGATGGATTACCAACACTTTAGGAGTTTGGTCATGTTGTTTCTATGGAATTCTGAGACTTTGATTTAAATCTTACCTTGTATTGTGAATTCCATTTAGATGTATTGTACTAAGTGAAACTTGTTAAATAAATCTTCCTTTTAAAAACTGGAAAACTTCTGTATAGTTCAATTTTTTAAATTATGTTCTATTATACGGGCACATAGTAACTGAAGTTCTCTGTTTAAATTTATTTTTTGTTTCAAATATTCCAGGCTATGAATGACTTTTAAATTTTGATCCTCCTACCTCTACTTCGTAAGTATTAGAATTGTAGTCATGTGACACTATCAAGTTTATTCAGTGCTGGGAGGCAACCCTAGGACTGCTTGTATACAAGACAAGTGCTATACCAACAGGGCTATATCCATAGCCTAAATTTTGATTGTGTGCTAGTGGAGGCCAGAATAAACATTGGGTGTCCTGTTCTATTGCTCTCTGCCTTATTGTCTTAATAACAGGGTCTCACAGCTCCTGTAGCTAGGCTGGCAATAAGTCCCAGTGGTCTCCTGTCTGCTGAGCACAGTGTTGCTATTACAGTAATACTGGTCTTACTGGTTCATGACATACCATGACTGGCTTTTTACATGGGTGCTGGAGATATGACTAAGGTCTTTGGGCTTGCAGAGCATGCACTCTTTTTTGTTGTCTTTGTCTTTTTCAAGACAATTTCTCTATGTACGTGGCTGTCCTGAAACTCTCTGTAGACCAGGCTGGCCTCAATGAACAGAGATTCACCTGCCAGAGATCCAGTCCACCAGGTGCTTGGATTAAAGATGTGCATCACCACACCTGGCCTGTTTTGGGGTTTGTTTTTGTTTTCACTTTTTTATTTTGCTGGCCTCAAACTCACAAGAGATCCACTTGCCTCTGTTTCCCATGTGTGTTGTGATTATTTATTTTTGATTTGTCTTTTAGTTAAACAGTGGTTATTCCCAAACCAGCTGTATACCCAAATCACCACACAGAGACTAGGATTTATTTAATTAACCTAGAGCACAATGCTGGGCAGTAGTCACTCCATCCTAAACCTCAAAGCCCACATTGTTTCCTACCACTCAGATTTCCCACATACTTGCTTTTAGTCATATCTTAGGTCTCCATGGTTCCAAGTCCTCTTCTGCAGATCTCTCCTCTCCCACTTGCTTCCTTTCTCCTCCTCTCCCAACCAGGATGTCCCACCCTATTCTCTCCATTGCTCAGCATTGGCTGGTTGTTCATTAACACTACCAAGAACAAATGATGGCATATTTACACAAATTTGAGACAGGTGATGCTTACAATAAACATCACAATGCAATGTCTGGATTGAAACCAGATAGTGGGGTAGAGAAATCATTTGAATGAACAGGTAAATTGTATACATTCCACAAGAACATACCAACATTTCCACCATTAAGTCCAAAAAGGCTAGGAGATGTGGGAGGGAATGAGGGAGGGGGCTACAGCTGGGATACAAGGTAAATAAACTAATACAAAAATAAAAATTAAAAAGGCTCCTTTTCTTTTAATACAATAATATAACAGTTATGAAAACTATTAGGTAAGGTTTACATGTGCAGCGTCCAGTTCACATGCATTTGGCAACTTAGGAGAAAGTATTATCTATCCTATCTTGACAATTTTTAGAGTTACATGCCTACATTAAGTTTTATCCTTATTGGTATTACCTATATGAAAATATTTTCTAAACAATTTAAGCTTACTTGTGGAAATAAAACTATTTTGTCTTTGACCCCACCATACACTTGAGAAGGAATAAAGTTAGTTACTGGAGTAAACAGGAAGTGCATGTTAGCAGCTTCCAAAAAATAAATTGACAGAGCCAGTTTGCTGCCTGAACAGTCACCCATAACTATAATGTTGGAGCATCATTTTCAGCCTGCTGGCTCAGAATATTTTGACAGACATATATATGAAGCAGGAACTATTTAGGACTTGCTTACCCTGTCTTGGCAGAGTTCAGCAGTCGACTTGTCCTGCATTTAAGCTTGCCTCTTTTTGGCAGATTTCTATCTATCATGAAACAAGGGCATTTTCTTTTTCCCTGGGTGGCTCCTTTGCCACATTTGAAGCCATTTCCATATGGATGTTCTTTGATTCTCATCATCTACTTTGACATAGGCTGGGTGCT